AGGCTCAAGGAGAGCCACAACTGACAGCTGTGAGCCCCCAGACATGAAGCTGTCTCCAGAATACAGCTAAGCACCTGATAAAGACCTACATAAGGACTATGTCTGGCTGGCAGACCAGGGAGGGAGCCAGGGCTTCGGATGAGCTCAGCGGTCCTTCCCAGCAAGTCGCCCTCTGGCCTGGCAAAGGCAAACGCCTACCCCAAAATGGCCACCGTTCCCACCAGACCAGTCACATTTGCCCTGACCCACTCTCCTGACTTACGGGCCAGTTTGCCCCACAAAGGGAAACATAACACGTTCAAACAGAGTCGGAAATCACCTGTTTGCTGTTCCCACCTTCAGTGCCTGAGGGAGGAGCAGCTGAACCCTCCAGCTCCCTCTCCCTCTCTTCACAAAATGGCGCCTGTGCACAAATGGGTGCTGTGGCATCTTCCCAGCGCTGTGGGATCTTCCCAGCACTGTCAGTTTTTAAGGAGGAGGTTGTGGTAGCACCTCAGAGCCTGGCGGGCAGCCTGGAGGGCAGCGTGCTGCAAGGCTTCTGCAGGATGTGCCCCACAAAACCCTGCAAGCCACCAGCAAGGTGCATACACCCCATGCCATGTCTGTTGGGACATTTGAAATAAATATTAAAGGCCCCTGCTAATGCCAGAGTCTTCAGTGGCACTGCAGGCCACAGATGGGGAGCACTTTCTGAGATTTGGAGCCAACATCCAGCCCCCTCTACACCAAGCCACCTTCTCCTTGTTCCTCAGCTAGTCTGACAGCCCTGACCCCCTTTGGGGATTTTGTTAAAATCATTGCAAAACCAAAAGCAATCAGCTTCACAATCCGTGACGTGAAAAAGGCAGCAAGTGCAGGGCTGCCAACCCACACAGCCTGCCCTTCCGGGAGCTGGGGCTGCAGGTGGCTGTGCAAAGCCAACACAATTTTAAAGCCAGCCTGTAGATGTAAATGACTCTGCATTGTTTAATCCTCCCTGGGCATTTATTTTTCTTTATTTTACTTTATTTTTTTAATGTTTTTTAGGGACCTCTAGTGTTTATTCTTAGCTTGTATAACAACACCACATCAGTCTACTAGTGCTCCCAAATACTCGACCTACAAAATGATCACTCCATTTGGAGACCAAACTGAATTCAGCCAAGTCAAATGACACCTAGAGTAGCTGCTTTCAGCACTCAAAACCACAGCTGTGTCAGGTCTTTCTCTAAAGATTAACTCCATTGGTCTGTATTTCCACTGCTCCCCACAGAGACCATTAACAAGGTGCTGCTGGTTTAATTACCACAAAGGCTGCTGTGGGTTCAAAAACACTTGACCTGTGATTTTCTTCAGTTTTTCCAATCCAACTTGCCAAGTTTCTTAGTGATGTGCATTGTTAAGTCACTGTCCTCTCACCACAGGCACTTCACAGGCCTCCTCAGTGCTGTTGGAGCCAGCCATGGCAGCAGGA